GTTTTCCACTTCCCAACCACATCCTCTCTTCCTGGGCCTTGATACTGCCTACCCAGGTAGAGACGAACGGGGGCATTGGGACAAAGGAGCCAAATGGAAGTGACATTGACCTGGAATTTTAAGACAGGCTTTTGGATTTGATCTTAAAGGATGAAAAGGAATTTTTTTAGGCAGAAGAAGGAAAAAGAAGATTTTAGGAAGCTTGTACATGGAAAGCAAGGATGGTTTCAACTCTGAAGGGAGGGAGGGCTGGAAGTGAGAGATAAGGTGGGAAAAGAGCTTGTGGTGGACTTTAAACCTCCTAAGGGGAGGGTCCCTGAGTCCCCTCCATGTCATCAACCAAGATGCCTGGATGCCTGGCACTGGCCCAGGTTGGGTGATCTCCTCCCTTCTTACTGCTCCTACAGACCCTGTTCATATTCTCATAAGCATGCTGGTATCTTCTGTAGCTGCAATATCTAATATGGTGGTCACTAGCCAGACATGGCTATTTATATCTAATGAAAATGAAACCAAAGTGCAGTTCCTTAGTTGCACCAGCCACATTTCAAGTACTCAAGAGCCTGGCATGGCTAATATATATATGATCTAGAACATCTAAAATAGAATATTCTATTCAAGAGGGCTGCTCTGTCATCTGTCTCCTGTGCATGGAGAAACATCAGGGGACAGGAACCGTGCTCAAAGGATGCCCCAATGTCTTGTCTGGAAGATGACATAAAAAAGATGCTCAGGGCTTCCCTGGTGGCGCAGCGGTTGAGAGTCCGCCTGCCAGTGCAGGGAACACGGGTTCGTGCCCTGGTCCGGGAAGATCCCACATGCCGCGGAGCGGCTGGGCCCGTGAGCCATGGCCACTGATCCTGCGCGTCCGCAGCCTGTGCTCTGCAACGGGAGAAGTCACAACAGTGAGAGGCCCGTGTACCGGAAAAAAAAAAGAAAAAAAAAAAAGATGCTCAGTGGTTGTTAGGTCCATAACTTCAGGACTGGAAGGGAGCTTATATCCCACAGCCTCTTTCAACAGGGAGGAAGTCTAAGGCCGATACCATGACTGGTAATATGGCTTTGAACAAGGGACTCTATACTCAGTGCCTTTCCAATTTCAGCATGCCCATGACTCTCCATAAGGGTGCAGATCCTGATTCAGTGGTTCTGGGGTGGAGCATAGATTCTGCATGTCTGAGAGGCTCCCAGGTAATAGTGATAATGTTGGTCTGTTGACCACACTTAAACGTAGCAAGGCTCTATGACCAGGAGAGAAGACCAAATTAAAATGCTGCCGGATAAATCTGGGAAGTTGAGCTGTTGGTGTGGAGATCTTTCTACAAAACTGGTCCACGAATTCAATTTTGTGAACATAAGGAGAAACTTAAGACACTTGTTTATCTCTGTGTTTTTCGACGCTGAGCCATCCCATTTATACTGCCTTTCAGAAGATGAGAAAATCAGAGAGTACATTCAGAAATCAGATGCTAAGAAAACCACCCTCTCCTTTTCCCCACCGATACTTTCATCATAACCACAATGAAAAGTTAACAGCTACAATCACAAAAGCTTCAATTCAAGGAATAATCAATGATGACTCCATTTAGCAAGAGAAATTGTAAAACGAATAGATCCACACACTTTTGAAACATGAGTCAGAGAGGAAGCAAAAAGGCCAATGTGTTTTTAAAAAGCTTTGGAAAGAGAGGGACATACGCAACACGCTCTTCCCAAGAAGAAAAATCTCTTTGAAAGTCTCTGCCTCCTGCAGGGCTCTCCTTCAGAGCCACATCTGACATGGGTCTAATTTCCCTGCTCGATAGCATCATCATTAAACAGCCACACATCACAAGTAACATGTTTATCATTTTAACATGCCTTCCAAGATTGAGTTCGCATTATGGATTGTGAAAACATAGATTCTGTTGCTTGGGAGGGGGCAAATGGAGATCTATCAGTGTTCTAGAAAATGAATTTTTAATACCACTTGAAAGACAAGTTACAGATACTCAGAGGTTTTAACTAAGACCATTTTCACGCCTGAAACAAATATGTTTAATTAGGCAGCTAACAGCTCTCCTCAATGCTACAAAGCTGAGAGGAGAACACACAAATTCTTTAGGAAAGGAGCAGGCGTTTAGTCCAGAGCGCCGGTCCCATGGCCAGACAGCAACAGTTTCCTCACCATGTCTCTACTCAACATCAGGAATCATAGAATGTACGATATTTGTCAAAATGGATGTGGGGTTAAATCTGGCTCTTGCCTCTTCCTAGCCCTTTAATTTTGGCCAAGCCACTTAATATTTTCTGAGCCTCGTCCATCTGGGCGATAGTAATACCATTTCTGAGTTATAGGAAAGATTAAATTGAAATAATGCATATAAAGCACCAGATACATGAGAATAATTGTTTTAATTGAGGTAGTAATGTTCACAATGGTGTTTGGCCTTCATCCCAGGAGGAAGAATTTGCTAGTAGTGGGATGGGGTGTGAGAATTTTCAAGGACAGAAGATCCATTCCTCCACGAACCTGCTAGAGGACCACTTTTCTGTCTCCAAAGGCCTCTGTGAAAATGCATATCAAAGTGAGGATGTTCAGTAGTAGTGAGGGTGCAAAGAACAGAGAAGGGTGGTGGGTGTACAAGCAGGTTGAACATTGTAGTCAAAATACTGCTTATATTCATTAATTAACACCAACCGCATCCCAAGACGCATCAGGCAACACGGTGAACACTTTGGATATGTGACCCCATTCAATCCTCATAGCAGCCCTGGGAGATCGGTACTTATACTATTTCTATTTAGTACAAGGTTTTCCAAATTCAACACGGTGGATATTTGGGGGCAGATAATTCTTTGTTGGGAGTGCTGTCTCGTGCATTGTAGGATGTTTAGCAGTATCCCTGGCCGTGACCTACTAGGTACCAGTAGCACACTCTCCCCACCCCAGTTGTGGCAACCAGTAATGGCCCCAGGCGTGGTCAGATGTCCCGGGTCAGGGGAACAGTCACCCTCGGTTGAGAATCTCTGGGTGACTAATCAATGAATAAAATAAAGTAGTGAAGTTCAGAGACTTCCCCAGATCACCTGGCAAGCAAGTGTTGGAGCCAGGATCCGAAATCAGGCGGCGAGTTTCCCAAACCTCACCCTTGTATATTGATACCAAAGCTATACTCTCTCCTAGGCCCAGAATATAAGGTAAAGAAAGCTCTGTGTTTGGGGGGATTTGAGTGGTAGGAGGAGCCTTTGTAGCAAAACCTCTGCTGTGACTAATGAGCATAATAAGCCATCTGACAACCTGGCCACATCTGATGGTTCCAGGTAAATACTTTCCCTGGAGAAGCTCTCCCTGATTCCGACACCACAAGCTGTGCAAAAACAAGCCGGAAACTGTTTCTTGGGAACATCTCCCTTGGCCAGTTCATGACATTTAAGAAAAAATATTTGGCCCCAAACCATTATCTTCTCCTTATTAATAAGATTTGGCAGTAGCTGTGTTTTGGCTTTAAAAAAAAAATGAAGTCTACTTTCAGAGATGGAGACTTGCCTTCACCGAGGAATCCAAATGTCTGTCCTAGGTTCAAAAGGGAAATTAAATGAGAACATTTTGATTATGCTCAAATATGTGTCTGGTATCCCAGGGGGACAAATTTCACTTAAATAAGTGATCTCTGGAGTGATTTGTTAAAAACAATTCCTCTTATTCCTAGAGTCCTATCTCTGTAGTTTAGCTGGGTCTGTCACAGGCATCTGAGAAAGCCCGTTATTACACTGCCGTGCGTTGCTTTAATAATACAGCTTGTTCACATGTCCCTTACAGCCACAAAGCGCATTCATGTTCATCTCATCTTTGCAATAGCTCCTTAGAGGTATTATTACTATGCCCAGTTTTACATATGTGGAAACCGACGCTCAAGGAGGTTGGCATCCACCAGTCAACAGCTGGCAGAGATTGGGCTCCAGTTCAGGTCCTTTAATCCCAAAAGGGTGGGTAGGTGATGGGTGCCTGGTTGGCAGCAGGCTTTGGGGAAGATGTGAGTCTGGCTTTGGAGGCCAACTCCATCTATTCTCCTTTGGCCTGTGATTGGCCTCATAGCTGGGCCTCCAGAAGGCTCAGGAGTGATGCCCCAGCTAGCAATGCTCAAGGCCCCAAGGCCTGGATATTCCCAGGGCTGTGTGGATGTCTGGGCCTGACAGCAGTGCCACAGAGCCCAAGGCAGTGCAAACACACGAGCGTGCATGTAGGCACGTACAAAGTGCATGAAAACAAGAATACCGGCACACAAACTTCGCACAGGTCAACACGTAGTCAAAGTGGGGGCAAAAGGACTGGCCCCAGGCAGGTCCCCAGTGGGCTCTACTTGTGTCTTTCATTATTGTTCCAATCTACCTTCAGTGCCCACCTCCTCACCCCCCACCCCTCCTTGGTCCGAAAATGTTCACTCAGTGTGCGCAATTTAGGATAACTTCTTCCTGCACTACCTCTAGCTTAAAGCTCCTCTCCATCCTTCAGTGCCTTAAACTCTTCTGGCCCATAGTGTATGAGATCCTGCTCTAAGACACTGATGGAGTAGAAGAGCCATGAGGTCAGAGTCTGAGGGTATTTCATACTCCTGTGTCCTCAGCCCCCAGCTGAGCCCTTGGTACATGGATCGGGAGAGGCGGGAAAAAGCAGAGGCTGAGCCAAGTCACCAAGGCTGGCGTGCAAGGCCTGCCACTCACTGACCATGTGACCGTGAGCGAGTCAGTTACACTGTGGTAGAATAAGGGACTCTGAAGAGGGCCACCTCCTAATCCCCAGAACCTGTGAATATGTGACCTTAATTGGCGAGAGGAGACTCAGGTTGCAGACTGAATTAAGGCTGCTAACCAGCTGACTTTAAAATAGAGAGTTTAGCCTGGATTCTCCAGGTGGGCCCAGTGTAATCACAAGGGTCCTTAAAATTGGAAGCTAGAGGCAGAAATGGAGTCAGTACTGAAGTGATGCCATATGAAAAACACCAGACCCTCTGTTACAGGTTTTGAAGATGGAAGGAGACACAAGTCAAGAAATGCAGGCGGCTTCCGGAAGCCGGAGAATTCAAGCACATGGATTCATGGATAGAGCCTCCTGAATGGAGTGTGTCCTGCCGACACCTTGATTTTAGCCCCGGTGAGACCCACGTTGGACTTCGACCTCCAGAACCGTAAGATAATACACTCGTGTTGCTTTAAACCACTAAGTCCATAGTAATTTACTATAGTGGCATTAGATGCGAACACAAATCTAAGGCTCCATTTTCCCATCTTTAAAATGGGGTCAGTGACGGCACAGACCCTGCAGTAATGAGTAAATGTGACAGCGCGCGGTATATGTAAAGCTCATGGAGGACAACCCGACTAACACAGTAACTTTTAGTGCTTATCAGATGTGCAAAAATGGTCATTGAGCGAATGAATAGATGAATGAATGAATGAACAAAATTGTTGGAGGCAAGAAGCAAGAAAAGGGATCTAGGGTGTGTTCAAGGAAGGATCAAAGTATTTGCAAAGTTAAGGTTGACTGTGTACACAATTAGTTACTTGCCCTTTGCCATTGTCTGCAGAAGCTTAAAGAATATGGTAACCAGGCCCTTCCTTGATTTTGACCCTGAATTTCCCTATTAACCTGTTTCTGCCGTGGTTAGCCTTCGTCCTCTGCGCTCCCATGCTGATCCTTTCCAGAAACTGATACATGCAAACCCCTTGGATCCCTCAGCAAAGAAACTAATAATAATAATAATAATAATACAAGAATTAAACTATGACAATGTGAGAGCAGTGGATAGTGGTATTTCATAATGTTGGGTTGACTACAATGTGAAGTGATGGAGTAGCCTCCATACTATTTCCTCAAAGTCCTGTGCTTTCCACCCTTCATTTTTGCCTGTGGGAAACAATCCACCCTGAAGAAACCTTGTTTCCACCAAGACTTTTTTTATTTTTCCTTTTTTGCAGTTCCCCTGTCCCAGGCCATCAGACATCTAACTATAACCGAACAGCCCGCTCTGCCTTCACACACCAGCATTTTCTAAATATTCGCATTCCTCAGATGCCAGCTCCTTCCTTATTTTCTCAATTCCGTATTTGTTTATCCTCAAAAGCTCCTTTGTAGCTGCCCACATGGATCTGGGAAAATGTGGAGGCCAGCCCTCTTCCCTTGGGCAGCCCAGGGCCCACCAGGAGCCCCATTTCCGTTTCTCCACCTCGGGGGCACTCTCCTGAGAACAGAACTGACTGCAAGGTCCCCGTGGGCCCAGCAGCTGACCCAGCCCTTCAAATGCACAAACGGTCCTCTAAGGATCTGGGGCCTGGTGAGTGCAGGTTCCCTCGGGGGGATTTTTAAACCCATGGTTCCCTGTTTTGCAAGTAGGAGCCCCTCACTTCAGCCGGGTCTCCCTCAGACAGACCTCAGAGCCCGGGGTATTTAAAAGCCAGGGATCATATCATAGCGAGGGTGCCCTGACTGTGAACTTCGCCCTTGAAGGGTGCAGCCCTCGCCCACAGATTATAAGGTAACAAGCAAGCCAGTGACCTGCCCTGAACCCCGACCTTGCCCTCTGCATGGGCTGGGAACCCCTGCAGAAGGCCAGCCAGGAGAGAGTTGGAAAAGAGCCAGCTGTGGGCCTGGTGTGCCTGCCGCGGCCAGTCCCGCAGGAGGATTAGCAGGAAATGGCGTTTCTTTGGTCAACAAGAAGTGAGTCTTCTCTCCAGCATGGGCTAGAGCAGGACTTCCGGTCCTGGAGTTGCAGTCTAGAATCGTCTCTTCTTTAGGGGAAGAAAGAGTCATTTCCTTGCTTCACCCTCTTACCGCCTCCCCGCTGCCTTTAGAGAAGGCTCCAAGTCCCCTTCACAGCCTTCTGGAATCCTGCTTCTACCTGCTTCTCTGCTCCACCCACCTCCTGGCACACAGTCAGCATTCAGCTCTCCTGAACTGGTCGTGAATCCTCTCGGCTCTCTGTGCCTCCCAGACCTCAGTGCCTCTGCGAAGGCTCTCTTCCCCGCCTGGGTAATTCTTAATTACCCTTCAAAGCTCAGCACAGCAGGCACTTCTCCAGCCCCACTAGAGACCTGTCCTTACTGGGTGATAGGTAGGCATAGAAGGCCCCAGCATTTTGCACCTGCCAACTCATTTACTCTTCACTGTCACACCATGAAGTAAGTCAGTGGGACTATAAACCCGTTTCACACATTGGGAAACCAAGCCCAGAGAGCTGAAGCAACTTGTCCAAGGTGGCAAAGTTGACAAGAGGCAGAGCTGGGACAAGCAGCCCAGCTCTGGTGTTAGCCTGGGCTCTGTACTCGGCCAGAGGCAGATTTTCACCAGCTGCGTGACCTTGGACTGGTTACTTAACCATTTCTGAACGTCAGTTGCCTCATCTAGAAAATGGGCTTACAAAGAGAACCTGTGAAGAGGTATAGAATGTGTCTTGAGCGCCTACTGTGCAGTAAACACTCAGTTAAGACCTGGTAACTGTAATATTATTACTACTGATAATCCTTAGTATGGCCTCCCTCACAGCCCTGATGACACCAGACCTAATCGTGACCTGAATCCCCACACAGGGCAGGATCCCAAGGTGGTGCCTAATTCAGAGCTTAGTAGATATTAGTAACAGAGGAATGAATGATTGCATCTAGTCTAATGCATTTATCACACCAGGCCCACCTTGAGCATTCAATTAATATTAGTAATAATTATTATCATCATAAATTAATAGTAATTATCATCGTAATAATAATTATCATTATCACTGTTTTCTTGGATCCTGTAACATAGCTGCATCTCCAGTGGGGGGACTTCTGCTTTGTCGTTTGTGTTGAATGAAGGACATTCACAGTCTCCTAGCTGATTCAGAGGAAATACTGCCAGCTTGGCAGCCACATCCACCAAAGAGCAGTAGCAGGAGTCTTAATCATATCACACGATGAACTGAGATGCCTTTTGTTGTTCAAAACAGTGCTGGGGACGGTGGAAAAGTCAAACGAGGTAAAAGCCAAAACAGCCCAATCATTTACCCACAATGGGAATCACTGACCACAGGGCCAGGGTCAATATTAGGGCAAGTTACATATCAATGTGGGGTCATTAGTCTCTGTTCTTCCCAGTTCTGGGAGAGCACATTGGCCCTGGGCCAGCCCATGGGAGCGGGGAGCCGGCAGTGTGGACTCTAACCGTGAAAAACAAGATGCTAGGAGGTTTTATGCTCCTAGAGCTTAAAGGTCAAACCGAGCCGTGGTTACGGTGCCCATCTGCTTTCCGGATGCGCCCTCCGCAGGGATGAACAAAGTCCAGCTTGCGGGAAGGAATCCAAAGGCCGTGTCCTCTAATGACAACGGGGCAGAGACGCTCCTCCTGGCTGTCCGGGAGGGCTCTGGGAAAATGGCACATACTGTGTTTAGGGGCCAAGCTGGGGCCAGTGGAATTAAGGAGGAATATTGTCATTCTCATTACTAATTATAATAGTTTACTCTTCATGGAACACGTACTGGGGGCTGTGCTTTGTGATTTCATATGTGACATCACTTAACCCTCACAGATGCCTCGGGGGCAGGGTGGGGGGATTATTACCCCAATTAGACAAATAATGAAGCTGGAAAGTTCAAGATTGCCCAAGCTGATCATCTAGCAAGTGGCAGGGAAGGGATCTCCTGCCCAGTGCAACATGCCTCCAAACTCAGCCATCAGATGGATGTGGGCAGTTGCTCACCCCAAACCCATCCTCTCCTTTGTCTTTGCTCAGAAGACCCTGACTTCGTCCAGGGCAGCCATGTGTTCAACCCCCAGGAGATGCTGGCTCTCCCAGAACCCCCTGCAGCTGGGGTAACCACAGGACAGAACCGGCAGGGAAAGCTCACTTGGAGGGGGATGCCATTTTAGGCACACATTCACTTCCGGGAAAAAAAGAGGACAGGCTCATCTATCCCTTCTTCTTCTGCCTCAAAGGAGTTCTTGAGCCGGGAGAGAAAGAGGCCTTCTTCTTTTTATAGTTTTCTTTTTTCCCCCAGTTTTACTGAGGTTTAACTGACAAAAACTGTGTATATTTAAGGTGTACAGCTTGGGGATTTGACATATATGTACATTGTGAAATGATCTCCACAATCAAGGTAATTAACACAGCCACATCTCACATAGTTACCTGTGTGCGTGTGCGTGTGTAGTCGTGAGAAGACTTAAGATCTACTTTTAATAAATTTCAGGTATATACAATGCCGTGTGATTAACTAGAGTCACCAGCCTGTGTGTTAGAGCCCCAGAACGTATTCATCATATAACTGAAAATTTATACAGTGGATGAATGGATAAAGAAAATTATATATATACACACACACACATATATATATGTAATACACACACACACAATGGAATATTATTAAGCCATAAAAAGAAGGACATCCTGTCATTTGCAGCAACATGGATGACCCTGGAGGACGTTACACGAAGTGAAATAAACCAGACCCAGAAAGACAAATACTGTGTGATCTCACTTATATGTGGAATCTGAAAAGAAGGCAGAAGCCTCTTTATGCACAGAAGGCCTCTTGTGCTCATGAGGGAAAGACAGAGAACATCTCAGAGACCTCAGAGCTGGGATCATTGATCGGTTGAAGTAGCACCTGGAACCAGGCGCCTTGGGTCTTCTCATTAGTGCAGCAAGCCAAACAAGCAGCTGGCCACGGCTCCTGTGTCCTACAGCAGGGGCAGATGTGCCCGAGAGGTGTCTCCATCACTGCCTTCAGGGAAGGGAAGGAATAACATATAAAATAAATGGAAAATGGACGAAAGGTACAAAAATCTAAACAACTGGGGTGTGGCCTTGGTCACAAACACGCTCCTTAAGACTCTTTCTGCCGCCCTGTTCTTCTCCCTTGAGCTGGAGAACTGGTCCTGGTCCCAGTGGCCAGCAGAGCGGCTAGGAGAGTTTGAACAGTCAGCTCTGACCCTCTAATTGCATTTATCATGTACTAATGAGCATTTAATAAGCAGTGACCAGGCACCCAAACTGAAACAATAAAGCGACCTCATCCCTCCTTCAAAGATGAAGAAACTCAGATTCAGATGTTAACAGTGGCAATAATGAAGGGCGGCAATGCCTAATCGGAGTGAATGGCGCCATTAGAACCCAGAACCGCCTGATCTGGAATCTGCTTGCAGGCGGGAGGCTTT